GCAGTCACTGGAGGCAGGGGAGGGGGGGGGGGGCTCCCCACTCTCATGAGGAAAAGGAAAGAATTTTAAAGATTTTTTAAAAAATAATTTAAAAGGCCAAGGTAGTTGCTGCCAGACTCCAAGTCACAGTGACTTTGAGTCTGCTTAGTGTTAACTGTAGGGGGAGGCGACAGAACTATGGGCCTCCTTTGCATAAGGAATCTTTCGCCTTTTAAGAGTTAAGCAAGGGTTAAAAAGCGAAAAAATTTGTATGCAAAGGAGGCACGTGATTCTCCCGCCTCCCGATCTGGGAGCAGCGAATCATGCCTTGCAGTTGAGCACGCTTATGTTGGGCGGGTTATTTCGCTCTTGTCAGAAGAGACCGCACGAGAGCCGAGTCCGGGAGGAGTCAGTTCTTCAAGCAAACTACAGGCTCGAGGGACCGCCTTCCCTCCCGCCACTCCGTTTATTTTTTTGCAAAGGAGCCGGCGCTCCTGGAGGCTTTGGAGCAACAGCCGTGACTGTGGTGGGCTTTGGCTGGGTTTGGGATTCTACCACCCCAGACGGGGCAGAAGGGGAAAGAGACTCTCGGGGCTGAAAACACGGCGTCCTCCCCACCGCCCGAGCAGAAGGTAAGCGGAGCGCTGGCCGGAGGGAACAGCATGCTGCCTTTTTGGCCCTCAGGCACGTGTCAAGTCGTGGGTGGCCCTCTGTAGGCGCTCAGACGGCGTGGCTGCCTGTAGTAGAAACTTTCAGGGAGTTGAAGTCGAGGACTCCGTAAAAGGGCGAATCTTTCAAAGCCCGTAAGGCGTAGTGGGTGGCGCCCTTGTTTGGGTCCAAGATAAGGCAGAGTTAACCTCCAAGAGTTGCCTGTGGCTGAGTTTTCCCCCCTTCTCTCTCTTTTGCTTTCTTGCTCTCTCCTTTCAACCCTGTCTGCTTTATAGACCGGTGCTTGGAGATAGACCTCGATCTCGACCAGGCAAACCACGAGGGGCAGAGATGGAGGGAGGGGCTGCCTGCCTGCCTGAGTGGAGTGCGAAAGCGAGAAACTGGTATGACTGAGGGCGGCCAGAGGTGCATGCCTGGGTTTTTGGGGTGTGCTCAGTGTTTGTGTGTGTGTCTGTGTGTGTGTGTGTGTGAGGGAGTGAGTGTGTGAGTGAGTGAGTGCGGGGAGAGCCCAGAGTGGCAGTCACCCACCTACCCTCCTCCCTGCCCCTGTCCCGCGCAGCTGGAGGGCCATGCTAGGAAAGAGGCCATGCTTCCCAAACTTCTTGCCCCTCTCGCTTGGCCAACGGGTGCCAAGAGCTGCCGCCGCGACCACCACCGAACGAGTCCTTCCTCAGCCAGGGATCGCAGGAGCTCGCCCTCTTCTCCCTTACAGAGCGTGCATGCACAGGCCGGCGAGATGAGCGGGCCTCCAGTTCAGGGCCCCAGCGGCAGGACTTTAAATCCTGACTCGGACCCACTGTATGGCGGATGCCGCCGGAGCCCTGCCTCCACTTTAAAGCCTCGGCGGTAGGGCTTTAAAGTCCCGGCACCACATCTGCCATAGAGCAGGTCCCGGTCCTGCTCTATGGCGGATGCGGCACCGAGGCTTTCACGCTTGCCTCACCGGCCATGAAGCTCACCGCACGTCTCTGAGTCAAAGCTTTATAGCAAGCATCCTCAAACTATGGCCCATGGGCCAGATATGGCCCTCCAATGCAAGGTATCTGGCCTGTGAAGTGGTGGGATGAAAAGCTTGTAAAGTAGTGCTTTAAAAGTCTTTAAAAACAGCCTTTCAGATGTTTTTCACAGCCACTTGATCCAGGGCTGGTGGGTGAGTAGGGGAGGGGTTGCTCTGGCTTGCAAAGCAATTATTTCCGGCTTGAAAAACAGCTCTGCTGCCAGCAGAGTAGCCATGTGATCCTGGGGGATGTGAATAGGGGAGTAGGGCTGCTTTTAAAGTAGCACTTTGAAAGTGGGTGGGGGACATGTCTCCATGTCTCCTAGCTTTTTTAAAATCAGCTGAAGTTGGCTAATATTAATTCAAATGCAACCTCAGTATAATTCCTGAAGGATAATTCATCCACTAGTTTGATTCTTCCCATATCAAATTTGTAGCTGAACAATTTTGGTAGATATTCATGTGCGTATATATACACATGTACAAGTATGTCAAAAAACAAATCAGTTTGTGAATTCTCCTCCAGGTTTAAAAGACCTTTAGCCCTGTAATCCCAGATAAGCAGGCCCACACTTCCCATTGAATTAGTAGTATATTTATGTTGATTAAAATTGTTCATTTTAAATATTGTATTTCATGTTTTTTTGCACTACAAATAAAGATATGTGCAGTGTTCATAGAAATTTGTCCATGTATTTTCAAACTAGTCCAGCCCCCAACATTCTGAGGGACCATTATCCCACCTTAATTCACCAATGGAGGATTTGTGTGTGTATGTGTGTGTGTGTTGATTCTCGCCTTCTTCTGCCTGCTTCCAATGTCTCTCAATGACCATCTTGGGGGGTTTTAATTGCAGTCTTAATTGTTGCAGTTCTGGTTTATTGTGTGGTCATCTGAAACATATGATCAGGAGTTATTTTGAAGGAAATCATGTTTTTTTATTCTTTTTTTAAGGAGCCTGAAGATGTTGTAATGAAGTTAGGCAAGTGGCAAGAAAGTTTGTGCTCTTTCCCCCTTAAGTAAATAAGATTCCTTGGGTTGATCAAGTTCAGCAAGGACAAAGGCAAAATGGACTGCTAAATTGGCCACGCCCATCCAGTCACATGACCACCTAGCCATGGCCACCCAGCCTGTCCAGCCCTCCAACAGTCTGAGGGACCATGAATTGACCCCTGTCGAACCAATGGGTACCAAGAAAACCACATGACTTACCACTTGACCCACACCCCATAATAAATAATAAAATACAAATACAAATACTGCTTTGGCCGGAAGAAATAGCGAATCATATTGCAGACAACATTAGCAAGTTATTTCTTCCACTGGGTGCTGATAAAAGATTTCTGCTTCAAAATGTATCCAATACCAAATTTGACACATTTTGAAGCAGTTGAGTGCTGAGTGTGTTCTTAAAATGTTGCATCTTTTTAAAAGCAAAAGATATACTTACAAACTGAAAACAACTCCTAACACTGGGTTCAATATTACTGCCACCAAAAGAAGCAACTTCTCCCAGCTGCCTTGGAATCTGGATAGAGTCATGTAGGAGGAGACCCAGATGACGTTGATCACAGAATCCAGTGGGACTAGCTACTTGCTTGAACAGATCTGAAAAAATAGAATAAAAATATGGGGAAAATTCATGCAATCAAACTGGAGTATATTCCACACGATGTTACTAAATCACAGCAATAATCTAGACAAGTACAAGGCATGGGACTTTACATTATACCAGAGGTGTAATTTGACTGGATCGGACTGGCTTGGGTGAACTGGTAAGGACAATTGGAATCAGTTCGCCGAACCGCTAAAAATCACCCCTGGTTGGCCCTGCCCAGTCGGCTGCTCAGTCATCCGCTTGCTGCTCACCTCTTCCCTCCGTTCACTTGGCCCTTCCAGCCACTCGACCTGCCCACCCAATCCAAACGTTTCTGCCTCCATTCACAGTGGAACTACTGCAGCCTGCCCCTTTAAGGTAGTCCCCAGGAGGGAGTGGGCCAGGGGGCACCATAAAGGGAGCAGCAGTTCTGCTGTGAATGAAATGAGAAAAGTTAGGATTCTCTGTGCCACAGAATTCAATATTAAATGCAGCAGAGATAATCCAAACATTTCTCCTTCCATTCACAATGGAGCTGCTGCAGCCTGTCTCTTTACGGAACTTTGATCCCCAGGAGGGCGGGAGCCAGGGGGACCATAAAGGGAGCAGCAGCTCCACGGTGAATGGAAGGAGAAAAGTTTGGCTTCTCTCTGCCACAGCATTCACTATGAGCCCTTCTCGTTCTCATACACATATTTTTTTCCTAGCAGGTTCTGTGGGAGTTGCTTGGTGGTGGTGGGTCATGTGACCAAGTAGGCATTTCCGTGAGTGACATCGAGTTGGCCACATCCACTCAGTCATAGGAACCTCCCCCCACAGAACCAGTAGGAGAAAAAATTGAATGCATTATACGCTGAATCTTTTGTTTTTCCTGGTGTAAAAATTCCCAGGAAGCTTTGTCAAATTGCAAATACAGTGTTTCCAAGAATATAATGCATTCTATTACAAAGATGCATCAGCCCTGGGACTGTTAGAAATGGTATCACAAATAAAATTCAACTGACTATGAATTTGCTATACTGCATGTATTTTGAAGCTTCTATACAACACATCTGTAATAGAAGGAAGACCAGTTAGAAAACACCTGAAATATTTGACACTAATGCAGTTGCCAAAACATGACCTGAATTCTTTTTCAAGGTGTTAAAAACATTTCAGTGCAATGAAAAAATATGGTTTTACTTTAACAGTTTCTTTAATATTTCATGCTTCAGTAGGAAAGTTCTCATGTTGTATATAGCTGTTTTTAGAAGAGCTTTACGCCTAATTTTATTTTGTTTATCGTTAACTTGTTAAAATAAAGAAATATAATTCCTAATCAAATTTTAGTATTGAATCTACAATTTCCTGCAGACTCTTTCAAAGTCCTAGAAAATCTGTATGTGTCAGGTTATCAGTGCACATGTTTTGGATTTACTTTAATTTGCTTACCATTTAGGTAAGAATACTAAAAGGGGATACATACAGAAAATAATTAGAAGATATGTTCGATATACTATGAGATTTTGTTGGTCTTCAAGAAGAATTTGCAACTTGGATTGCAAATGAAATTAATAATTGTGACAAGTCAGTTTCTTGAAAATGCCTTCACCAAGACAAAAGAAATATCAATTCTGCTCAAGATGAGGGATTAAACTCACTCCTGCATTCTAACAGTAACAAAATAAGATCCTTAGAATACAAGTCTAGTATACAAGGTGGTATCTGTAGCTAAGGAACAAGGTGTCATGCTAAGTTTTTCTTTAAAAAGAAGTTTAAGAATAAAGAAAAATAAGAAAAAAACTAGACTGAAAAATAACAATTGTAAACAAAATGGACTGACAAATATACAATGAAAAAAGGAAAATAATGATAATAAAAAACCAAGGAGGAGTTACACTAGTCACATGGGATGGAAGCTCCTAACAAGAATTCTGTAAACTTTGGAAGTTTACAAATGGGATTGCACAGCTGTATAATCTGATTTCACATCTGTGTGAATAACAGAAACCATTTCATTCCTTCTAATGACTCTAAGGTGGTTTACATTTAAAAAAGTAACAACAATTAGAAGAAAAATATCATAATAGATAATAAAGATGGTGAAGGCTCAGATTATTTCTCTTTTGAGCTTATGTCATGATGTATCCACAATGAATATTTTTTTAAAAATGGGCAATCATTTTAAGCCATCTAGTGCACATGTATTTTTCTTTGGATCCTGGCTCATTCCTATCACATGTCATCCAGCAAAATTCTACAACTTGTTAAAGGTAATTGCTGGTTTATAAAAATTCCCTTAGTGAATGTTCAAAGTTACACAATAAGTGCCGCATTCACCCATCAGAAGCTCCACTTTGGCTTGCAACCTGTTGGGCGAGGCCTGCGGAGGCACGAACAGATCTGCAGAGGGTGCATGCAGCTGAGAGGCTGGAGAGGAGACTGTTGGCTAGATCTTCACAAGGAAAGTGACCTGGAGCAGCAGGTTAGGGGGGGGGGAAGCAATTATGGGGAGCATGAGGTATTTCAATGGGTTGAGGAGACCTTGAGTGGTTTTAGGCAGGTGGCCTGTTCCATTAATAGCCCCGCCATGGTCTTCCCCATCCTGAAATACCTCATGCACACTTAATGAGCTTCGCAGTTGATTAGCAAATGCGTGGGTGAAAGGAGGGAGTGATCCAGTTCAAGGTATGAGATTCACTTCGACGAATCCTCAGGTTAGGGACAGTATCCACTACATTCCATTACATTCATAACTCAAGAACTACCTGTACTTGTGAACTATAAAGACCATAATCTCCAATGGGCTAAACTAGACGACATTAGGTAACATTTAGTGCAAAACCTGCTATATATATATTAATTTCCAAGTTTTGTTAAAAAAATTGAAAAGATTTGACCTATTATTTATCTAGCTTCATAACAAATGGCAAAAATTATAAAACACAATCATTACTTACATCTGTATTTATCTTCCAGATGTGCTTTACACAGTGAAATTATACCAGTTTTGAAAGACAGGACTCGGATCTTTCCCGTTCGACCCCTATTAATATTAAATAAATAAACAAATAAGCAATAATGTAGATGCAAATAATAATACCTATATCTAAGCTTATTAAAATGCCAGAAATAAAAATGAATTTCCCGTTTTAGCATAAAACAAAAAAGATCAAAGGAATAGTTTTTATTGTAGTAGTACATACCATGTTTCCCTGAAAATAAGACTAGTCTTATTTTCTTTTCAGCCCCAAAATAAGCATGTCTTATTTTGGGGGAATGTCTTACCCAATTACCTTAAACCACCAAAGTCACACCTCCTATGCCCGACACCTGTCGTGCTGCTGCCCAATTTCTTCTGTGACTGCTTGCAGCAAAACACCATGTAGCCCATCGCATTGGTGCTACTCACAGCAGGACGTTGCATGGCTTGTCATGGTGGTGCCATCGGTCACAGGACGCCATGAGGCTTGGCGCACCAGTGCTGCCGCTTCCATCAGCAGGCTGTGTGGTGCCTTGTGGTGTTGCGGACACGAGCGATGGCATTGGCATGATGTGCCATACAGTGTCCTGCTGCAAGCGGACACCGTATGGCACATACTGTGAGCCACGTGATGTGTGCCATATGTGGCAGCATTGAGCCATTAAGCATCCTGCCATAAGCAGTGGCACTGGCACAACGTGACATGTGGCATCCTGCCACAAGCAGAGTGGGTTGTATTTTCAGGGAAACACGGTACAACATACTAGATGTAGGGTAATATGCTCGCACAATTTTATAATAATTTGTATGCTGAATCTTTTTATAATATTTTCAGAGTTATAAGCATTTTCCTAAGTCATAAATATAATCCATTTCCAACTCTGAATAGTAATTCTGCATATACAATTAGACTTGTATATATACTTAGTTTATGAGAAGTAGTTTACTGTGAAATGTAATTAACAGTTACATTTTGGCACCTAAATGATTTAATAATTTTATTAGTATATGAATAACTATCAAAATTGAAAACAATTAACAAGCATTAAGTTCTATTTCTAGGATCATACAAAACTTCAAAATTAAATGGTGTAATTAATTTTGTTGTTTTTAAGATTGATTAGTAACTTTCAGCAACTTTCTGAATTTAAAATAATCCCAAATTTTCTCCCATCGAAACGACTACCAGTGGTTATTTTGTTAAAAAAACAGAATAGTAGTTTATTACAATAAACTGGTACAAAAAAACTACAGAGACCTACGTGTCATAAACATTCAAAAGCCAGTTGAGGCACATATCTACACATAGAGGGACGTCGACTAGGTTATTGTGCTCTTGTTCCAATTTATCATAAATGGTAGTTAAGCAGTTAATGATCTGAAGTATATCAATTGGTTGATCATTCTGTTTGAGGTTGTGCTGGTCCAAGGCATCACATGCAGCAGACAGATTCAAAAGATCCACTGTAATGACAAAAAAAAAAACCCTAATATGAAACAGCTCTGATAAAATAATCACATCATTTAAACTTAGCAACAGTTGAACTGTTGAATTCAGCAACAGTTAAAATATAAATATGTTAAATTGAAGATACAAAATTTAAATTTATCTTTAGTGTTTTCTAATTATTGATGTCTTTTTTCTAAGCAAGTGATCTCAGATTTTGTAGTATAATTGTAGCTACTAGTTTAAAAACTATTTCTTGTTCAGCAACTATTTATCAGTCACCTCCCTGGGATCATGAAGACACTAGCTCTAATATAGAATTTATTAGTCAATTGGAAATAGTATATCATTTTTAAAAAAGGAGTTTAAGGTTAAATGTTCATAGCTCCAGTGGGAGGCTGAATCAATAATGATGAACCCTTCAAGGTTTGAGCAGCAGAATAATTGTATAAAATGTATTTAGCTAGAGATCATTCTTTTGTAGATGCTTTCTGCTCAAACAGGCAAGTTTCTCTGAAAAATTTCCTCTAGTTTTAGTTAGTAAAAACATACACAAAGCCATTAACAACATCTTCAAAGGTATACAATTCACAAAGGAAGAAGAAAACAACAATAAGCTATCCTTCCTATATATTCTCATCAGCAGAGTGATGGGAAACTAGAAAAACAAAAGACACCCACAGATCACAACATAATTCTTTATTGACCAAATGTGATCACCAATGGTATATATAAATAGAAAGTAGTAGGTCATAGGCAGTGGTTATATTCAGCTGGTGCGCCCCAGTTCAGGTGAACCGGTTGTTAAATTACCCATCCCTAGCTATGAAAGCGGATTCTGGGTGCTACGCTGTACTGCAATGTTCTCCATTGGACAACTGGCAATGTAGTGGCCGGCACGAGGAAAGAATAAGGCCGCTTTCTCTTCTCCTTCCCTCATGACAGTTGCTCCATTGCCCATTTCTCCATTGCAGCATAGTGCAGCACCCAGGATCCACTTTGATCACTTCCTACTGAGGCTTGACTTTCGGAAACCAATCCCCCACTGTAGGGAGGAGGAACCGATTAGGTGGTTCCACCCCAGACGCCTCATGGACCCAATGGGATTTCAGACGGCGCTTGGAGAAATACCTGATGCTCTCGTCCACAGTCTGGTGGCGGTGGGGGCTCTTAGTCGCTGCTAAGTGGCGGTGGGGGCTCTTAACCGGATTGCTCCTTTGCGGCCTCTCCGAGGTAGCGGATCCAGGAGGGCTCCTTGGTTTACCGAGGAACTCCGGGAGATGAAGCGCCAAAAGAGGCGCCCAGAGCCGCGCTGGAGGGCCAGTAACTCTGAATCAGACCGAGCAATGATGAGAGCCTTTATCAGAGCCTATCTCGTGGCAATATGAGCGGCGAAATGTGCGCACTTTGCC